TCCCCTCCTCTCTGGGGTTTCTGGCAAGCGATTGAACAGTGCGCCAGTGTGCAGCCTGCCTTTACTCCTCCATTTTAGACCTCTCTTGGCTCTGAGAGACAAGCAGGGAGGGTGGATTCTGGCAGAAGGAGAGGGAGCCCCCGGTGGCTCCTCCTTCTCCTGACTCACCTCTGCCTCTCGACCTCCCTCCTCCCACTCGCCTCCTTCCTTCTGCCTTCTGATTCTGCACTGCATTCTGCCTCAGAGTCTCCCAGCTCACTAAGCCCTGTTGCCCCTTCAGCTTCTGACACCTCCTCTTCCCAAGCTTCCCCTCTGACCGCCAATCCTTCCTCCACCTTCACTCCTTGGGCTCAGAGCCATCTTCTCTTCCTGGTTCCCCGGCTGCTTCCTCCCACCATTCCTCTGTGCCCAAACAGTCCATGACATTGCTCCATCCCTCGGCCTCTGACCCCACAAGGCAGCTTCCCCTGACCTGATCTGGTTCCACAGCCACTGCTTCCCTTCTGCCCCCATGAAAAGGCGGATCAGGAGGTCTTGCCGGCATCATTCTGTCACCTGCAAGAGAAAAAAGGTAATCAGGATGCTCGGAGGGCCTGCTTCTCTCACAGAGGAAACAGGACATCTCTAACTACAGATGGGCTTTGAGAAAGCCTTACCTGCTGAGTGCAGTTGAAGGTTTGTGCCCATTTCATGTTAGGTGTGCAGAAATACATCTCCCCTCCTCTGAACCCTTGTTCCCAACCCCCACCCCTCAAAAAAAAAAAGATGAAAAGAACGCTCAGATGAGTTGGAAAACCAACAGAACAAGACCAAATGGAGAAAAGCCACCTTCCTCCTTACCCAGGGCCTCTCTCTGGTGTCCAACGGAGGCCTCTCTGCCTCACAGGAATCCAGGTCCATTTCTGCAAAATGATCCCTTTTCTGAAAGAACAACAAGAATTCAAAACAGTAAATGAAAGGTGAGAAATATTAGAAAGAGAACGCAAAGACATATACTTTAAGGGTGTTAGATCTCATTCCCCGAAAAAGGAGGGGCCATCAGCAGACCATTTTTGGATGTTCTCCATCCTGTTTGGAGCCCCTTGGGAGTATCCAGAGGAAAGTCTCTCTCACCTGCTTTCTCTCTGCCTGCTCTCTCTCCTCTGCCTGACTCAGGAGGAAACCTTCGGCCAGGGCCACTGCCTGGGAACTGGTCTCCGCTCCACAGTCCCTCACCCAGCTCTCCATCTCTGGTGGAAGGACAGCCGGGAACTGCTCCAAGATCACCAGGTCCAGCATCTCAGCTTTCGTGTGCCTTTCTGGCTTCAGCCACTGATGATCAAGGTGGTAGAGTTGGCTGCAAACCTCTCGGGGCCCTTTGGCCTCCTCGAAGCAGAACTGCCTCAACTGCTGGCTCTGCACCTCTGAGCGGAGGGTGTCCTCCTCACCCAGGATCTTCTGCACAGAGTTTTCCAAGAATCCCCCACTGCTCCCAGTTTGGATGACATGGCCTCTTCCTGCTCTAGGGCCAGCTGTGTCTCGCTCATCCATCTGTGCTCTCAGGAAGCCTCTGAGAGATGGGAAGGAACCCTTTGGTCTTCTGCCAAGTTCTGTCTGTCTGAATGAGAAGCTCTAGCAAATCCTACAAAGCAAATACATTGTTCTGTTACAAAAGTTGTACAGTATCAGGAGAAGAAAAAGTTTCCCTGAGCATGGATGAGTCTTGCTGGGAACCAGGGTAGGACTGCACCACAGCCCAGACTCTGAGCTATCTTTCTAAAAAGGAGGAGGAGGAGATGTAGGCCTCTAGAAGGGAGATTGTGGAAATGTGGAGGCAAGCGAAGAGATTAATGCGAGGCGAATCAGCCTGGTTGCTCCTTCCTTCCAGTCAATGCATGAAGTCAGAACTGATTGACAAGGGAGTCATTGGTTCCTAGTGAAAAATGACTAGGTGTGTTGAATCTGAATCTCCTTCCTTGTGGCTTGAAGCCATTGGTTGGAATCCTGCGCCCAGGTGACATGGCTCTCCTAACGGCCGGCCTCACTATACACTGCCTTCGTTGATCTAAAAGCAGCCTTTGATACAGTCTCCAGAACCAGACTCTGGGACAGACTACAGGGTACCTACATAGAATTAAGAGCTTCTGCTCTTAATTCAGGCACTGCACGCAAACACGGCTCTTAGAGTCAGGACCCTATTAAAACCTCTAAAGGAGTCAGGCCAGGGTGCCTATTGGCCCCTCTACTATTCAATTTCTATCTAAATAATTTAGTATCTGCACTCCATGACTCAGAACTCCACCTCCGAAGCTCGCAAATCGGCATATTTCGGTCCTGCTATATGCCTACGATGCAGTAATTCTATCTAGAACCCCCATTGGACTCAAAAGAGCACTGAGAAAGCTCGCAGCAAACTGTGAATTTGAATGTCTCAAAATCAACTATCAAAACACCAAGATACTTGATTTTGGGGAAAAGCCAAAGCTTAAAAGCTGGGAACTCCAAGGCCATAAATTAGAACAAGTCACAAACTAAAAGTATCTAGGAATGGTGGTACAGGCCTCAGGAGCCAACAAACTACACATAAACTCCATCGGGAGTTCAGCGGAAAAACCCGCAAATTGATGAGAGTGGAGGCTAGCATCTGCCTAACATATGCCTTACAAGCCTGGTAGATGAAGGGAACACAGTGGATGTAGCCTACCTTGATTTCAGCAAGGCATTTGACAAGGTGCCCCATGATATTCTTGTAAAGAAGCTGGTAAAATGCGGTCTTGACTATGCTACCACTCAGTGGATTTGTAACTGGCTGACAGACAGAACCCAAAGGGTGCTCATCAATGGTTCCTCTTCATCCTGGAGAAGAGTGACTAGTGGGGTGCCACAGGGTTCTGTCTTGGGCCCGGTCTTATTCAACATCTTTATCAACGACTTGGATGATGGACTCAAGGGCATCCTGATCAAATTTGCAGATGACACCAAACTGGGAGGGGTGGCTAACACCCCAGAGGACAGGATCACACTTCAAAACAACCTTGACAGATTAGAGAACTAGGCCAAAACAAACAAGATGAATTTTAACAGGGAGAAATGTAAAGTATTGCACTTGGGCAAAAAAAATGAGAGGCACAAATACAAGACGGGTGACACCTGGCTTGAGAGCAGTACATGTGAAAAGGATCTGGGAGTCTTGGTTGACCACAAACTTGACATGAACCAACAGTGTGACGCGGCAGCTAAAAAAGCCAATGCAATTCTGGGCTGCATCAATAGGAGTATAGCATCTAGATCAAGGGAAGTAATAGTGCCTCTATATTCTGCTCTGGTCAGACCTCACCTGGAGTACTGTGTCCAGTTCTGGGCACCACAGTTCAAGAAGGACACTGACAAACTGGAACATGTCCAGAGGAGGGCAACCAAAATGGTCAAAGGCCTGGAAACGATGCCTTATGAGGAACGGCTAGCTAAAGGCCTAGAAACGATGCCTTATGAGGAACGGCTAGCTAAAGGCCTGGAAACGATGCCTTATGAGGAACGGCTAGCAGTAAAACTAGCTAAAATGTACAAAACATGTAATAAGTGTTGAAAATGTAAAGAAAAAGAAGGGACATTCTATCATATGTGGTGGGAGTGTAAAAAGGTGAGAGGCTTCTGGGAAATGATATATAATGAATTGAAAAAGATGTTGAAATATACGTTTATTAAGAAACCGAAGCCTTCTTATTGGGATTGGTAGGAAATGAGATAAGTAAGAAAGAATGTAAACTTTTCCAATACGCAGTTACAGCAGCGAGAATACTTCTGGCCCAAAAATGGAAACAGGAAGAGTTATCGACGGTGGAAGAATGGAGACTGAAATTGACTGATTATGCAGAACTGGACAAACTAACAGGGAAGATCCGATATCAACGAGACCAAAAGTTCATCGAGGACTGGGGAAGATTTACAGATTATCTGAAAGGCATATGTGATGAACAGATAACGTTTGTTGGTTTTCAAGAGACTCTGTGAAAAACAGAGGAATATTGTTAAAAAGAAAATAAGAGGAGGGAAGGATATATCTAAAGGCAATACTAAGTTGAGAAATGCGTTAATAATATTGATGCAAACGAAAGATCGGCAGAGGAGCTGAAGGAAGTCAAAAAAAGAGATAAATGTGTGATAAAATGTGAATTGATTGTAATAAAAATGGTTGTTGTTTTTTTCTTTTGTGGAAAATGAATAAAAATGTTTTTTTTTAAAAGAGGAGTGTGGTGGAGTCTCCTTCTTTGGAGGTCTTTAAGCAGAGGCTTGACAACCATATGTCAGGAGTGCTCTGATGGTGTTTCCTGCTTGGCAGGGGGTTGGACTCGATGGCCCTTGTGGTCTCTTCCAACTCTATGATTCTATGATCAATCTACAAATGGCTGACATTGAATCTCCTCCCCCGAGGGATAGCCCCATTGATCCTCTGTGACCAATTCCAGTCAGGCTGGCAGACTGCAGTTCTGAACACCCTCCAGAAACTGGGTTTTGCCCCTCAAGCCCTTCTAAGTCTGGGCTTGGGCTAGGCAAAGAATATTAGATACCGAGAGACAACAGGACTTCGCAAGGTGCCCCGACCATAAAATTGGAGAAATCGAGAAATATATAGCCGCACCGGGAGAATATCTCTTCTTTCTCGCATCTAGAAATGCAAGAAGGGCCTTTACACTCGCCAGAAGCTCGGCTCTTCCCTCGCTGGTCCTGGATGGAGCCTTTAGAAAAGTCCCGTGTGCTCAGAGACTTCTCACCTGTCCATTGGGAGAGATAGGCAGCCAAAACACTTGTTCTTTAGGCGTCCCTTTTACGAAGAGACACGTAGTAAGACCATTGATCCCCTGCTGGTGAGGCTCGCTGACCTCCCGCAAAAGCAAAAATTAGACCTTTTCCTGTTAGGCAAAGATCAGAAGATGACCTGGATGGTCGCCAGATTCTGTGTACAGATCTGTAGGCGCAGACCATCTCCCAACTCAAAATAGTCCGTCATGAAAATCCCCAAACTCGGTTTCATGGGTGACTCTGAGTCAACTCCCTGGGATAGTTTGTTGGTGTGCATTGTTTTTAAATTTGTTGTTGTACATAAATTGCCTGTTTTACTTCTGTGACTGTACCCCCAAGTGTGTTTTATAAGCTGGTCTCTGACCGTAATAAATTATCTAATCTGACATGGCTCTCCTATCTCCTCTCTGTCTCCTCTTCTCCAACTCAACATACCCAGCTCCTCATAAAGCTTGGCTTGATCTGCTTGGCTGGCCTCCTCTGCCAATAAGGAGAAAGAAAGAAGGGAAACAAAGGAAGAGGTTTTGGAGCAACCATTCATACGTGTTTCCTCTGTTGTGCAATGACGCTGACCCGTGTCACACACAGCAGAAGTCCTACTGATAGCCTTATTTACAGAAGCTAGATTTCTATCTGCTAGATTTCCCAGGGGGCTCTGAATAATTTTTTTTCTGGAAGGGGGGGCGGTAACCTCCTCCCCTCCCCCCCACAAAGATCTAAAGGAAGGGACAGTTCCTGCGACCTCGCCCCTCCCTGGCAGGACCCCCTGCTCCCTGGGGCTCCCCCCTCCCCCCACATGAGCCACCCCCCCTGCTGCAGCCCTGGGACCCCCCCTTCTCCCCACTGCACCCTCGGGGGGGGGAGAGAGGAGACTCACCAGATCCCAGGAGAGGATTGCCCTTCCCAAAGGAGTAAGCAGCGTCTTTATACAAATGCAGAATATAGAGTACTGTAGTTGCAAACCTCGTGCAACCTCGTCCCTCCCTGGCGGACCCCCTGCTCCCGGGGCTTCCCCCCCCACATGAGCCACCCTCCCCTGCTGCAGCCCTGGGACCCCCACCTTCTCCCCACTGCACCCTCGGGGGGGGGGAGGAAGAGACTCACCAGATCCCCGTGGAAGAGAGCAAGGCAGCCTTTGCAGCAGAGGAAAGCAACCCCCCCCTTGCAGGAAGGGGAGGGAGGGGCTTTTCCTCTGGAGGACCTGGCCCCCCTTTACTTCCTGTCCTCTCTAGGAATGCAGCTCAGTTCCCTTTAACCCTTGCAAAGCCGAGTCCACCCTGCTCAGTCCTCTCTGCCTTTTCTCTCCTGCATTGCACAATCCCAGAGATGCTCATTTTGAGGGGACGCTCTTGGTTGGTCTGTGATCCGCTCCCTCCCTTGGCCAGAAACTGGAGGAAGAGGTTGCAGGGAAAAGGGGTTTGCAGGAAGCAAGGAACCTCATCCTAGACTGGGAGGGAGCCCTAAGGGTCATCTATTCCAGCCCCCCTGCAAGGCAGGAATCTCAGCCAAAGCATCCAACCTCTGCTTAAAAACCTCCAAGGAAGGAGAGTCCGCCATCTCCCAAGGGATTCTGCTGCTCTTCCCGTCAGAAGAAACTGCTTTCTGGTCCTCTGGGTCCCTTATTCTGGGTGCTCCCTCCCCTCTAGGGCAGGAGAAAACAAGCTGGCTCCCTCTTCCATGGGTCAGCCCTCCAGATATTGAGAGGTGGCTCTCAGGTCTCCATCCAGGCAGGTCTCAGCTGAGGGAGGAACAGGAAGACACGCTGTTCCTGCCTTTCCTGGGACTATACATTGCTGAGCTGCAAAATGCAGGAAAGGGCACATTTTGAAGGCTTTGGGTACGTTTTGTTAATGGAGAAATCTGAGGGTTCCCTTGGACAAAAAACAAGGACACCAGCCAGGAATACCAGAGCAAAACATCAGCCAGTAGGCTTGGTCTTTCTTGAAGACTGTCGTGGCAGGACTCCCACCTGACACCAGGTGGGACAAGATGGAAGCCCCAAACAAAAGACAACCCAAACTTTTATTAGCTGCTAATCCCATGTTAGACCCCCCAAACTACATCACTCATACATCATGAAAGGGGAGGTCTGGTGGCAGTAATCTGAGCATCCTGGACCCTGCCCCATGGTTCCCCTTGCCTTCCATCAAACACCCATGGAATGTAACCTGACCCTTTTGTCTTCGTCTGGGTTTGTTATTTCTGGAATTGCTACCTGTCTGGCACTCAGGTATCAGGATGCCAGAAATCATCACTCAGGTAGAGGGGCTGCTGAGTAGCTGAGCTCACATGTCTAGATGAATTTCTGAAGTTTTCCCAGTGAGCCAGTACAGAGATACATTTATCAGTGAATTCTTACATTTGGTATATAGGAAGAAACTGTGATGAAGTGTTTTGTGGGGACCAGTCACAAAAGTCACAAAAGTGATGGTGCTGATTTTGGTAGTGGGCTGCATGTGCATGATATCTGCTGCAGTGGCAACCCCCCCCCCAACCTATACATAAATTCCTGCAACATTTTGCCTTCCAGTGTCCGGCTATACCTCTTGGCTCGTCCTCCAAACTTTGCTGGGGGGCTGTGTTCCCCCTCCCAAAGCAGGGACACACTCTTTGCACCTGAACGCTGTACCACCTCATTGCTGCTGGCGGGGGTGTGAGGGTTTATATAGTGGCGGGTGATGCCCTTTTGGAATATTAGGCCAATTAAGTGAGGCGGGGAATCCCTCAAGGGACGGAGCAGCAGCTGATTTGCTACCTGTGCTATGACACCCTCCTCTCAGCTGAGCAGGTGCCCTGGGGGGGACCTCAGATACTACTACTACTACTACAACTTCCGCAGAACTATAAGTTCCTTGTTTGATTGTGTTTTCATGTTATAAAGGGCTCTGAGTTCCGCCTTCTCTGCCAAGTCTTTTTGAGAGAACTGCTGTGGAGCTGAGATGAAGGAGGAGAGACCATATCCTCTCCACCCAGCAGAGGTGTGGAACTCCAGGAAGACACAACCTGAAAGACAGTGCACTATTTTATTAATTTTTTTTATAACTCCTGCTTATGTTATATGATGTTATAATGTATTGTAATTTTCATTAAATGTACAGACTGCTTGATTGTAAAAACACACACAAACACTTTCAAAATGTTTATTAAAAATATTTTTATTAGTAATTTCAACATAACATTTTATCAAATAACATATCATCCTTAAATTTCCCCCCTTATTTTTCCCCTCTCCAAAAAACCTGACCCACCCTCCCCTCCCCCCCAGACTTCCCTCAGCTTCCCTCTCTGGTTTATCAACATATGTTATTTTCTGCATGTTACAAAACTGTACAGATCCTTAATTTATCTATCTAAATGTTATCAATAAAAAGTTTGTAAATGTTTATTCAAAACCTGCCAAGGAGTCCAGTTCATTTTGTTGCTTCTTTATGTACTTTGTAAAGGGTTCCCATTCATCTTTAAAATCACAGTTATCCTTGTCACGTAGTTTGTGTGTCAATTTTGGCAATTCTGCGTAATCCATCAATTTTTCCATCAATCCCTAACAAAAATGCCTTAGGTTTTTAAACAAATTTTAATTGGAACATTTTCTTCAACTCACTATATATCATTTCCCGAAACTTTTTGATTTCATTACAATCCTACCACATATGGTAAAAAGTCCCGTCTCTTTCGTTACACTTCCAACACATATTTGAGCTGGTTTTGTTCATTCTTCCTAACTGCACTGGTGTCATATAGCATCTATACATCATCTTCATATAATTTTCTTTCAGCAAGGAACACTCTGTGAATTTTAAATCGGTTTTCCATAACCTTTCCCAATCTTCCACAATAATATTATGGCCTATATCTTGTGCCCATTTAATCATAACTGGTTTCACCTCTTCGTATTTCGTCTCCCAATCTAACAAAATACCGTATGTGCCTTTCAGCAGTTGGAATCTAAGTCACTCCTGTATTTGTCAAAGGATTCTCTGAAATTCTGATGTTAGCCTGTATCTCCTTTTCGTGTATGTAAAGGAAATGCCCTCTGGGAATTCCCATTTATATCTAATGTCAGCTCTTCTGAGTGCTATTGTTAAATATCTATATTTGGTTCTTCTAAGTCTCGATTTCAGTGGAATCTCTCTAAAGATATCTACTTTCTGTCCAGCAACCACATGATTTTTTTCAAAAACTGTTCTGAAGGATTGCGTCCTTCACTCTTATTGTTACTAGTGTTAATAAAACATCTCCTGGGTGCCTCCGTTCTCTAATTTTCACGCGATCTAGTTCTGAAACAGCTCTCTGAAAGCCCATCCAACCAATCTTTGCTTTCTCCCATCCATTCTGAAATTGTCTGTGTGACATATGTCTCCAAATTTGGCTCTGAATCAGATTCTGGAAGGCCTCTGTCAGGTAGACGTTAACTTATTACTTCAGCTAAATGTCACAGGATTAAACAAGGTACTACAGTGGTACTTTGGGTTACAAACGCTTCAGGTTACATACGCTTCAGGCTACAGACTCTGCTAACCCAGAAATGGTACCTCGGGTTAAGAACTTTGCTTCAGGGTGAGAACAGAAATTGTGCTTCGGCGGCCCCATTCGCTAAAGTGGTGCTTCAGGTTAAGAACAGTTTCCGGTTAAGAACAGACCTCCTGAACAAATTAAGTACTTAACCCGAGGTACCACTGTACAGGCACAGCTTCTCTTAAACTCCCTCCTCTCAACATCAGTTGTTACACTTCAGGTATCCAGAATAAATGCTAAAAGGCTTAACTCTGTTTCTGCTGCTTCTCTCTCATTCCCTCACTTAGTTATGACAGAACAGCCCAGCTTCCTTCATGGCTTCATACTTTGGTCTGTGAGCGAGGGGCCACTTTTCCTCAGTTCCCCAATCTCTAAGCAGTTCCACTTCCGAGGTATTTTCCTTTGTATGCCAGACCCAGGGGATCATCTGAGTCCTTTTTACTGACTCAGAAATCTCCTTTTCCTAGAAAATCTCTCCCCTCCTGAATAGGAGACCCCAGAAGAAGAGTCTTCCCACAGCTTCTCCCTCCAGATTAAGTCCCGTCTGAACACTCTCTCCAGACCCTCAACATGGTCTTCCTATCTCAGCTACGACTGTTAATAGAGGATGAGCTGCCTCACTTCATGAAATTAAAACCTCGCTCCTTCAAAGTATTAGAGTTCAAAGACTGTGATAAAAATGAAAGACGAGCAAAGGGAGAAGAATATCGTGGTTCTCAAATGATGGATAACATAGGTTACTACAGGAGTAAGAAAATAAAATGATAATTATTATTATTATTTATTATTTATACCCCACCCATCTGGCTGGGCTTCCCCAGCCACTCTAGGAGGCTTCAAATAAAATATTAAAATACTAATACATCAAAAATTAAAAGCTTCCCTAAACAGGGCTGCCTTCAGAGGTCTTCTAAAAGTCTGGTAGTTGTTGTTCTCTTTGACATCTGGTGGGAGGGCATTCCACAGGGAGGGCGCCACTACTGAGAAGGCCGTCTGGCTGGTTCCCTGGAGTTGTTCAGCAATCACTCGCTCAGTCACCTTGCCCAAGAATGGAGGATTTGAGACTGGGCGATAGTTTGCCATCGTGGCCACATCTAAAGATGGGTCTGGGAAGGCTCCCTCACAGAGGGAAGCATTCACCACCCCACGAAGCCCATCGCCCAGCCCTTCTCGGCTCACTTTTATAAGCCAGGATCAAGGAGACAAGTGGTTGGTTTCATTCGTCCAAGCAGCCTGTCCACATCCTCGGGCGTAACAGATTGTAATTGATCCCACACAACTTGACTAGACAGGACTCTAGCACTCTCCCGCCCTGCTCCCATGGTGGAGTCTACTTCTTCTCGAATCTGAGCGACTTTGTCTGCAAAAAACTTTGCAAAATCATTGCAGGAGATCATGTGGCCTGTACTGGGCCCTAATGGAGCAGGTCGTACTGCTAAATTGTGAACCACCTGAAAGAGTCTCCTGCTGTTTTCCCCCCGCAGATGTAATAGAGGCAGTGAAGAAAGACTTTTGGCCGTCACTATCACCACTTGGTAGGCACTTCTTTAGTTTCGCTTATACTTAGTGTCAGATCACCAACATCCATAGAGGTGAACACCAGGTCTAAGGCATGTCCATGGCTATGAGTTGGGCC